AATGGCAGCCCACTCCTCCCAAAGTGGATGGGTTTAACTACTTTTACTCCTGCACTTTACCGGCCGTTTCTCAGAGCAGGAGGATTGGTGACAGTACGGACATTGTTGCATCTCAGCAACTGATGGTGAACATTTTACACAACTTCATGCCCAAAAACTTAAACTATCCCTTTAAGGTCACTGTATGGTTGGAATCCCCTAGTTGTCCCTTAACACAAGGGATTCAAAGTAGATGTTTAAGAGTGGAGATTTATGTGGAAAAAACTGTTTAATGTCTAAAAAATTAATTATCTTAACATATTTCAAATATATTTCTAACATCAGTTCCAACAAAGACATAAATCCAAATCAACTGGTGACAACAAGAGTTAAAAATTTTAAATGTGTGTTATACCAAATTCAGTAACAGAATAAACTGTGAAAAGTGCCTCCCCTCAATAATGAGCATGACAAAAATGTGCAACTATGGCTCCAAGATGTCTGCGTATATGTAGAGTTTTCAGCAGCTGGTTTAAGGTCAGGCCCCATGATGCCCCTAAAGAGAAGAAGAAGATGTGTAGCATCATCTGTTCTACCGAAGAAATTATTATTTAATGTTTCTGTCTTATAGGTGAATTGCAATTAAGAAAAAGAAGGGTGGGGGTGAACAGCATGACTAAGTATATAATTTCTTCCTCTTTGCTTTATTTACTCCACTCACATCTGTACGGAGTTGTGTTCTGAGTCGTTTTGCTGAAACGCAGCTCAGGCAACAATCAATAGTTATGAATTACAGAGCCCCTGCTTTTAGAGCAACCGATTGCCACTCTGTGCCCAGAATGGATTTATGGAGTTTAGATCGAGCCAGATACTGAACTGCCACAGAACTTGACAATTAGAAAGAAGGACGTAAACCTCAACATCTGCCTCTTTTAGGTTTTAACTAATTTTACGAGTTTAACGAACAAGCAAAGTCCGTCTTTTATTTTCCCCTCTTCTTGCTGTTTAGTGTAGAGAAATGGTGTTTTAAGGAAGCTGAAAATCGCAGTCTTTAGCCCTTTAGTTACAGATCCATGGCACTAATCCTGGGTGGCAGGCCAGCTCCAAACCCAGCACTTCCAAGTCCAGGCCAGGGCACATCTGTCCGGCTGACTGGCCAATCTTTATAGCCCTCTGGTCTCTGAGATATCACACGTACACAGACAGCTGACACATACACAAGCGTGTGCACGTACACACTGTGAGGATTCATGGACCATTTACTCTGTGATCTGTGAAGCTCACATCGCAATTTTGCACCTTTTACAAACAACTAAAGGGCACGGACAATTGCCGACCTTTTCAAAACCCTCAATGTGCTCAATATACACTCTCCTCTTTTTAGCAGCAGGATGACAGTTTGAAGATGATATTTTGCTAAAATTCAGAAAGATACCAAGAATGAGCTAAACTGTAAATCTGCATGCAACAGAAGTGTGAGCAGAAGAGAGCAATGGTATTTTGGCTACATTAGAAATGAGTACGATGTGAGAAAAGGATGATTGTGCACAGGAAGGTGAGTATCGGAGTATCAGAGAAGAGAGAGCTTTCTTGAAAGTAAAGGTGCCTCCACTGTTTCATTCTCAGTTTCTGATTGGCTCAGAGTCTTTTAAAAAAAATCCGACTGAGTTACAAGAAATTCACTTTTTGTCACACATTTTACTTTGCGCCAATCAATCACCATTAAACATCCTACAATAACCCTTTTCTTGTATGAAATTAAAGCTCAAGGTCTTAATTAGTTATCCTGTTCAATCTTGCAACTAATTGCAACAGAGAGTAATTAACCATCAAGGGCACTCTGATAGCTTTTTAAAAAACAACCACATAGAAGCATTGTATGAATCAGGTGTTGTCAGTGGGATTTTGGGGGAAAAAATGAATACACACATTGACCAATGAAGACTTCAGACTTTTAGGCCAAATGTGTAATATTGACTGAAGGTGGGCCACCGGTGAGACACATGATTACTAAAACTGTCCACTCTACTATCGTTTGAACTGTGGAGATGGAAAAAAAATATTTGGTTTGAAATGACAGTTTGTGTGATGATTTTCCATAGTAACCCAGTATCATAAGCTTGTAAAAAGAGAAGTAACAAAATGAAAGGTTACAGCTAGTAAGGGAGGCGGCCCAACTGAAAAAACAACCCTATTAACAATAAGCAAAGTGTTCTCCAAAAATTAAAACTATAAACCTATGGGGCAATGACAAGAGAATAGACTTTAAAATAGGGCTGCAACTAACCATTATTTTGCAAATCAATTAATCTGTTAATTATTTTTTCGATTAATCGATTAATAATCAGATAGCCAAAGGCTCCAGAAGATGTTATACAAAATGAAAGCGAGCGAAACTAAAACTTTTCTAATTGAAGAGTTCTGGATAGAGCACATTGACAGATGAAAACATTTCTTTATCTTCTATGCAAAATGTTGAATTTTTTTTTTTTTTTTTTTACAATTTTGGTATAATTACTGTTCTAAGTGGGTTGCTCTGTAAGTTTAAGATTTGTTTTAGAGCCTCTAAACTCCAGTTAACTATTAATCGATTAGTAAATTAGTTGATGATTATTTTAAAAAAAAATTGATTAATCGCAAATAATCTGATTAATTGTTTCAACACTACTTTAAAATAATTATTTTTCTATAAATCAATAAAATGGTTTTCTGGTTCCAATCTACTCTGCTCATGTAGAAGCAGCACGGAACATGAAGAAATATTTTATTTTTCTATTAATTTGGAATGAACTCCCACAAAACTGTAAACGTACTGAAAAGCACTGCTTTAAATCAAGATTTTAAACATAATCTTAAGCGTATGTAAGCGAAAATTAGAGTGGTTAATGGTTCCCAGTCAGGGTCTGTTCAGTATTTTCTAAATAACTGCGATATATGCAAATTAAAGAAACAAATAATCATGTTCCAGTTGCTTAAGTGATGAGAAATGTTAAACTTTTTTCCAAGTTGCAATACTATTAGTTATGATAAGCCTTTTGTCTGGTGCTAAAATCTATAAATAGAAATTCTTGAGACAGAAAAGAGAGAGCATTAGGTAAGCAAAGTGTGATAAGATGTAAACAAGATGGGCCTTTAGAAGGAGCTCCATTTCCACACCAAACAGCTCCTTCCTGCTTGGTTAAGAATGGTTTGATAGTTAATTTGCACCAAAAAGTTGAAATTTGTTCAACTTTGACTCCTAGTGTCACAGATTTCAGTGAGCTGCTTGCACCACTGTGTTTAGGTCTACAATGGCCTAATTCCACCTTAAGCTTTTTTGCCCTTTTCATGACGATTTTCCAGTCGTGTGAGAATTTTTCGATCGGGCACGTCTACAGGCAACCAGCTCTGAGTCCCACGTGTCCAGAGAGATCCCGTAGGCTTTGCGATCAGATCATAATTAACTGACATACATCTGATATGGAGAGGCTCAGAGCTAAGATTTTATACACTTGAACAAATGAAACCATTTAACCTCAGCATGGGACGTGACAGTAAACAAAGCTGGAGGGAGATAAAAACCCTTTCTATGTCTGATGCAGGTGAATGGAAACATTTCCATCAAATAACAATGGTCACCAGAGACGGAGAAACAATGTTCCAGGTTAAATCAGAGCTCATGGTATGTCTAATCCAAAGGAAAATATGGGCAAGGAATTTTCTTCAACATGAGATAAATATATTGTCAAAAAATCTGAAAAATGTGGAGAGCTTATTTAAGAGTTCAGTGAAAAAATAATGCAACCGTTTTTGGCATTTACTTAATCATATTTAGTTACTTTAACACAATTGTTTCATGTTAGGAGGGTAGTACATACTGTAAAACAAGTGTGTTAAATTATCTAAATATGATTAAGTAAATTCGAAATGCATTTTACCTCACATCAAAATACATTTCTTAGGAGTTTGGAAGCGTATTTTACCTCAGCCAGTATTTATATCATGTATCATGTATTTATACAACATGGTGTATTTAAACACCATGTTGTATAAATACATGATGCTTCGGTCTGGAGTACCTGTGCCCAACTTCATCATGTCAGCTGAAAAGCTTCTCCAATCTCAGAGTGTGCTGTAATTCTGAGCCTTGCTCCTCAATAAGGCAGGTGAATGGGCCTCAGGGGTGACCCTGCTGCTTAAGTCAACACAATGAGTGTAATGAGGTGAGCTACACACACACTCACATCTACACAGCAGACATGGACCTTTGCAGAATAGTAAGTGGGTTTTTTTTTTATCCATTTGCATGCACTGAGCTTTATGTAGAAATACTTCTCACATCCACACCCACATATCCAGCAGAACAGCATGCTTTGCATTAGGAGCCTGTATGCATTTCTTAAAAAAAAATAGGAAAATCTTATCAATTAAATCCACCTTACATAAGAAGGGCAACCTAAATCCAAAACTAATTCTGATAGATTCGGCGGATTTCATTGCATAATTCCAAATTTCACATATAATAGTTAAAAATATAACATAAACTGTTATCTAAAGCTGTCTTTACTGTTTAAGATGTGTGCATAATTCCTGTGGACAATACAGTCCATAATTAATCTGCCCAAGTGTGCAGTGAGCAGAACTGGTGTCTCCTCCAACCCACGCCCTCCGGGCCATCATTGGCTTAATGATGAGTGCCTGTGATAGAGGAAGCCCCTTACAAAGGCTTTATTAATTAGCCACTGCGTGCAACACATGTTCACACTAATCAAAACTTTAAAGAGACACGATCGACCCGCAATCCCCTTAGCTGGAGCGCGCTGCATGGCGTTCAACCCCAATGCTGTGTGCGCGCATCTTTGAGTTTACCGGCGTGCGCGCGGGCTGAGCGCACTATTTCCTCTCAGCTTTATCTAGTGGCTAATCTGCAGGTTATGTGCACTTTTAATTCTAAGGATTAATCAGACAGGTGGTATGGATGTAGTTGTGGGATTTATGAAGCGAGCGTTAGACTCTACAGAGATGCGCCTGCAGCGACTCACCCGCCCGGTGGGGTTAGAGGAGCATCCCGGTCTCTGACGGCCAGCTCTTCGGATGAGTTCTCCTGGGACAGCGCGCTTTGATCCCCGCTATCATTCTCCGTAAACGCTCCGCTTATCCTCCTCCTGTGGCATCACATAAAATAATAAAGTAAGAGAAGCGAACGCAGCATGCCCGGGCGGGATCAGGCTTTATATGCGTCGTTTTGCAGCAGTCCGTCCTCTGCCAGCAGGGCTGAAGTGACAGCAGCGGATTTTCTATTTGAGGGGATGCTGACGTGCAAGCGGAGGGGCTCGCCTCCTGCCTCTTTCATCTGGCTCCATCATCTCTCGGTTAGGCAGCACCATGTGACTAAAAGGGCTGTCAAGATGCATCCAGGAGCCACTTCTTTTTCCTGTTAAGACTGTCAAAATAAAAACATGGGCAAATGAGGGCTACATGCGTGTAATGGGGACCAGGAGTCCCATTACCCCATGAAATATGATTATTGATTTTGAGTTATGTAATATTAAGTTGGAACAAATAGTTGGGTTGGTTGTGTTATTTATTGTAGTTTTGTTTGGACATTTCATGCTTTCTTGTGTTTGGCTGGTTTGGCCCCTCAGCAGGGTGTGGATGAACAGGTAGAAGTGCTCTAGGTGCTGCAATGCACTTGGAGCAAACCAAAATGATCCGGAGGGTAGTTTAGGATGAGTTTTGTTAAGTTTGATGGGTTTTTGTGATTGACTTTAGATGTGTTTAATTGTATTGATTTCTATGTATGTAAATATTACTTCAGGTGTATAGTTTATTGTTTTGTTGTAGGTTTGTATGTATATTGATTTAGCTCCTTTTTCTTAATAATCCCTTTTCATGGTTCCTTCCTTCATGTTACCTGAATTGCGTTTGGTTTAACATGCTTCTTGTTCTTTTTAGTGTTGGTGTGCACAAGCTGGAGTTCAATAAAGCCACCAAAACGTCTATTTTGTCTTGCCTCTCCATTAAATATTGGGCCTCTGCTGGTCTAGCTGACAATGCGTGTGCAAAGGTGGTTCTAGACAGGGGCCAACGGGGGACAATACCCCTGTAGATCATGTCCTGGCCCCCTTTAGGGCCCCTGTACTGAAGACAAAATACTCAAAGAAGTTCTAAAGATGTGACAGACATGGTTACTGATAGGTCCTTTGAGTCTATTTCATTTTTTTTTCTTTACAAAGTCTGTTTTACTAAGTATTTAAAAACAATAAGGTGATAGCTTCAGAGCTATTGAGATAGGATCCCAGTTTTCATCTGCTAAATGTTTTTTTCAAAACAAATTAAAAAAAAATGTACAGCTGAATGTATCAGTTTTTCTTGAGTTCTAATTCTGATTTTATAGAAAACGATCATTTTAACTTGAATTAAGTCAAAAATATGTAAAATTCATTAATTGTGAGTCGATATTGACCTAATAAGACAGAATTTTAATTAAACACAATTGAATTGAAATTTAACTTCATGCAGCTCTCTTAATATATTTGAATCCCTTGCCCTGTTTTTTTATTTCATACTTTTCTGTGCCCCCATGAAAACACGCTGGCCCCCTCCTGGCCCCCTGGTACATTTGGTCTAGAACCGCCAGTGTGCGTGTATTTTAATTTTAGGTATTTATTTGAAGTAACATACCCTATTTTAAGCTGTTTATTTCATATTCACATTTAACTGCAGTTATTTTTATGCAGATGATTTAAACATATTAATAATGTTTTGCAAACTGAAGAACAAATACTTCATATCTATGTAAAAACCAGTAGTTAAACAAATACTTTACTGGAAGAATAATAATTCCAGATACCAACAAACAGAGAGCTATCTATCCCATGTTTATTCATTCTTAGTCTCTCAATGCTTCTGATGGGGAGGAGAGCTTTATGATCAATTTTCCTTGGATTCAAATTTTTCAAGAAAGGTAGGACCAGTTTAAATCCAAAATAAGCAATACTTTTAAAGTCTTCCCAAAACATGGCAATACATGAGGCCCAGCAGGAATGCAGCAACATACAGGAATGTTTGTTTGTTACTGTGATTGAATGAGCAAAAAAAGCATGAGGTTACATTTGCAGGCATAAAAAAGGTGTTTATTTACCAAATTATAAAAAAAAAAATAAATAAAAAACAATAAAATAAAAATGTAAAAATCAAATAATGTCAGGGTCATCCAAAAAAAAGTCATACATGTATCAACCAAATCAATTCTAAACATCAATTTAAGGTAACTGCAAGATAACTAATTAATTGAACAGAATTAACTTAAGCAAAATGAGACAAATGGAGCTATAAATGCAGGATGATCAGAGGCTCTGACATAATTCAATACTTTCTGTCAATAAGTATGCTGCTTGTCTGGGCACATCTTTTCATTTCCAAATGCCAGCTTCTAAGATATCAGGAAGATCTCAGCACTTAAAGAAAAAAAACGAAATGTTGAATTTAATAAACGTAAACTAAATCTGTGCTATGAATGGATTTAATATATCTAAGGTTGTTAAATAAACATTAAATATTAACCCATCTTGTGTAATGTTTGTGTATGTTTAAAGAAAATACATATTGAGCAATAACTCTTTCACTGTGTGGCTGCAGTTGAGTCTGTTAATGTGTCCTTCCATAATAAGCAAAAAATTAGGTCTGAAACAATCTAGTCTAAATTAGTTTAAGCTTTTAATAACTCCCTATACAAAAGAAATTAAATTATGCTTAAATGAGCTTAAGAGAACCAAAATATTGGTTTAAACCTTTAAACGTTTTCACTGTGAACAAAATGCAAATTGAATAGATTATCTAAAAATAATGTTTTATATATTTCCACTATTTTGATTTGTTTTATTTATCAATGTAAATGAACAAAAGAAAAACCAGAGCGCCTGATACTTCTTTTATTTTGAAATAGAGCCTTCAATATCCTTTTTTCTCCATCTGAGAATTTTTATTGACGCAACACACTTTTAGGACGACCCCAAAAAGCGCCCCTAAGTGGCAAACATGGGAATAACACCAGATGTTGAAAGGATTCTCCTCACTGAAGAATTATCCTGCCATAAATTATTGACCTCCTTCCCATATCATCATTTGTATTTGTTCTTCATCAAGCTTTGGATTTTATTAAAACAAAAAGAGGAAAATTAGAAGAGAATCTGCCTCCCTTTAATATCCAATGGCACGTGTTTAACATTAAAGTTTTATAAAATGGGCCTAAATAAAGAAAGCAGCTGAGTGCTTGTTCACCAACCCGTAAAAGCAATGAATCCGAGTCAAGTCAGCTAGTTTGTGTTAATAGTGATGTCTAAAAACACTAAAGAGAGCAGCTTTCTTTTGTTCTGATAAAGTTACAGAGCAGACATCAGCCAATAAAAACCTGCTTCTGTCACCCAAAGCAGGCAGTCATTAGACTAGAGTATTCCAGCCTGGATTATAGAAATATTTCAGTTAAAGTTCAATTCTAGAACACCACAATCATTTTAAAATATGGATGTTATTAAACTCCCAAGTAAAAGAGAGCATATTATCAGTCCCACTCTAAAATGTCTGCCTCTTATCAGCAAACAGACTTGACTTGAGTGTGTCTGAATGAAGAATCATGACTGGTCTGCTTAATCTCCTGAATGTGTTAAAAAAAAAAGAGAGAGAGAGAAAGAAAGAGCCAGACAGCCAGGGTGGAAACAAGAAACGACAGCCTAAGATGCTTTCAAAGAGTAGAAAAAAACCCTGCCCTTCGAAGGTCTTTTTTTTATTCTTGTCCACTGTGAGACAGACTCTCAGGTCTGCTCCACAAAGCAAGTCCCCTCCGAGCAGAACGCCACTGGCTGTCCTGTCACTTCATATTAGCTTCTTTGTTGAGAACAGCGGCCCCGGAGGGCCGCACTTGTCATGAAAGAAGTGGTCGAGACACGCACACACACGCACACATTCACATGAACAAAGGGTTGGGAGAAAAGGAGGTGTTGGGCAAAATGGGAACACACAGTAGAACCTCCATCAAGCTTTCAAACAGTCAGAACTATAACAGTGACCTTATTTCAGCTATCATCCAATACACACACACATGCTTTGTCTTCTGGTACACACTGACATGTTCTCATAAGAAATGCAGCTGTGTGGTAGTGAACATCATTCATGCAAGGAACAGTTTGAGATGTATTCTGCTGGTAACCTTACTTCCTGCTCTGACTTTTTAAAAGAAGCCCTATAAAATCTTAGAGCTTCTAAGTCGCCTTGTTTAAACCAATAAGACTGAAAATGTCTATTCAAATGATATCAACCTGCTTAATTACTAAAATGAATGAATACAGTTAATAATATTCTAAACACAGGGATAGCACAGAACTCTAAATCTGGTAAAGATGTAAAAAAAAAAAAATCAAATAAAGACTTACCTTTTGTTTCACTAAATTTATTTTGTAAAGAAATAAAACGCATGTCAGGAAAAAGTATCTGTTTTTTTTTTTTTTTTTTTTTGCTTATTTTGTCAAATTGTTAGAGGTGCAATTTCTTTAAAATTCATTTAAATAAGGTTAACAGAGGAACATCATTTTTTTTGTGAGATGAGGAGGTCAATTAAATTCTAATTAGAAGCCCCAGACTCTTGAAAGTGATGAGCCCAATTCCTTTAGCCACCATCCCCAGCTTAATGTAAAAACTGTAGTGACAAAGAAAATGTTCCTGCCAATAACAAGGAAGGTAAAGCCAAATCTTCACAGGTAATTGTTGGAGAAACAAAGTTAAAAATTACATATTTTGGTGACATGGTCTCCACAGGAACACAATGTTCTATTTGCCAACTGGTAGTTTCTATAATAAGATCACAAATGTAAACATGGAATATTTGCTGTCTCTACTGAGGCTTTTAGCAGAACTTTCTTTTTTAGTCAAATGAGGGACGGCCCTTTTTTAGCATAAAGCACTCTATGTGAATAAGCTGTGAGGAAAACATCATATTATAAAGATAATGCAATTATGCCTTCTGGAAAGTATGGTAGATGATCTGTGATGCTGTGGGTCTGTTTCTCTTCTGAAGGCCATTGCCATCTTAGTCACTGCTGTATTTACTGATAATCAGAGGGAGTGTTGATATAAATTAGAATAGAATAGAATAGAATTGAATAAAAAATCCCTTTATTGTCCCACAATATAATAGGTAAATGAAGACAACAACACATAAATAAAATATCAGGCAGAGCTTGACAGCACCAAAAGCCAAAGTTATTTATGCATGTTGATCTTTGATTCATCAAAACATTTCCAACAAGGTTTTCCAGTAAAAATGGACATGGTTGATGGCAAACAATGAGCGCTAGAAGTAGCATGTGGGAA